ACTTTTTCAGGTACCTGTTTAGATCACAAAAGCGGTAAGGAGTCCTGTGGCACCTTATAGACTAACCGAAGTTTTAGTGTCTATAAGTGTCTATAAGGTGCCACAGGACTCCTCGCCGCTTTTGCAGATTCAGACTAACACGGCTACCCCTCTGATGTTTAGACCACATAGGTCCAATATGGGATGTAACTCATCCTTGGCCTTCAGGATAAGGAATTAACAGGAATACAACCCTGTGCCCCTGAAGTGTAGAGGGACCTCCTCTACTTGGAGTGCCTGCACCTCCTGTTGCAGGAGTTGCTCATGAGAGGGGTCCCTGGAAAGAGATGGGGCATGGGAATGGGAAGGCGAGATAGTTAGAAACTGAATGAAATAACCCATCTTTACTGTACCTAGAACCCACCCGTCAGATATGACTCGAGCCTAGGCATAGTCAAAATGGGACAAGCTGTCCCCCAGGATAGGGACAGGATCCAAGAGGGAAACAGGAACATTGCCCTGGGGTGCATCTTCAAAAGTTCTTTCTAGGGCCTGGTTATTATCCCCCCCACTTCTAATCACACTCGGGGAGGGAGGGTTGATAGTGACTTCACCTGCTACCCAATCTATTCTGTCCTGTCTGACGGGGCAGATAATATATAGGTGGTGGAGTTGGCTTGAAATGCCTCCGCTGCGTTGTAGATGGGTGAAGGCCCAATGACTTAAATGTAGCCCTTGCGTCCTTCAAACTGTGCAGTCTGAAATCCATTTATTCTACAAACAAGCCAGAACCATCAAAAGGAAGGTCCTGTATCATATTCTGGGCCTGTGGAAGGATCCCAGACACTTGGAGTCAAGAGATCATCTCATATCTATATCTGTAGATGTGGACCTGACTGTAGAGTCCATGACATCAAGAGCTGCCTGAAGGGAGGATCAGGAAATCACCCTCCCTTCCTCTAAGAGGGCTGCAAACTCAGAACTAGAGTCCGATGGGAGGAGTTATTTAATTTTTTCCCATAGATCTTCATGTATTAAAATGGTAGTAGGCCAATGCTGCCTGTTGGTTAGCCACTTTCAACTGGAGGCTATCCAATGAGTATACTTTCCTCCCCAACAAGTCCAGCCTCTTAGAGTCCTTGGACTTGCGAGTGGGTTCCTGGTGACCGTAGCATTCCTTTTCATTAGCCACATCCACTACCAGAGTGCCTCGTTGAGGGTGTGTATAAAAGTACTTGTACCGCTCAAAAGGAGCAAAGTACCACTACTCAATCCCTTTGGCAGTCGGGGAATGGAAACTGGAGTCTGCAGAATTGGTTTTCCTCTTGCTTCTAATATATTTATATAATGTCTTCTTGTTATCTTTTATGTCTCTAGCTAGTTTGAACTCGTTTTGTGGTTCTGCCTTTCTGATTTTGCCTCTGCATACCTGTGTTTGCTTATATTCATCCTTTGTGATTGGACCTAGTTTCCACTTTTTATATGACTTCATGATTTTTAGATCATGCAAAATCTCCTGGTTAAGCCAAGGCAATCTTTTGCCATACTTTCTATCTTTCCTATGCAGCGGAATAGTTTGCTTTTGGACTCTTAATGTCCCTTTGAAATACTGCCAACTCTCTTCAGTTGTTTTTCTTCTTAGTCTTGCTTCCCATGCGACTTCACCTACCAACTCTTTGAGCTTACTAAAATCTGCCTTCCTGAAATCCACTGTCTCTATTCTGCTGTTCTCACTTCTACCATTCCTTACAATTATGAACTCGATTTATAGTCATTTTCTCCCAAGCTGCCTTCCACTTGGAATTTTCAACCATTTCTTCCCTATTTGTTAAAATCAAATCCAGAACAGCTTCCACCTGGTAGCACTCTCAAACTTCTGAAATAAAAAATTGTCTCCAATCCAATCCAAGAACCTATTGGATAATCTGTGCCCCGCTGCGTTACAAATAGATGGCATGTCAATCTCTCCCATTTGGCTCTCCCAGAACTGGGAGTCCATCTGCACTGGACTCAACGGAACCAGCAGATGTGCAGGATTGAACGGCACTGCCTGGCCAAGTTGTTTCAAGGGTGCTCCAACTCTGGACATGATCCTTTAAGCCTTCAAAACAGGGAATCTGCCTCTTTCCCGCCTCCGTTTGTTTTTCTGCACTGGAGAGTAGGATCAGTGCTAAGAGCTAGCCTTTGGTGAACAATGGTGATGGGATGGCTTGTTCGACTCTATACTGAGCCACACCAACGAAGGTGCACTGCACAACAAGGTCACTGGTGCTGGTCCTGTGGCACTGGATAGGGATCCAAGGAAGGCTCCATTAATAGATTTCAGAGGCAAAACTTTATCCCTTGTTCTTGATGTAAATGCCCTACAAATCTTGCACTAGTCTGCTAAGTGGGCCATTTCCAAACACTTAAGGCAGAAGTTGTCTGAATTGCCCGTAGGCATAAACTTCATACACTGTCTGCACTGCTTGAAGCTAGGGATATGAAGGACTAGTCATTTCCCACCTCCATCCTGCCTCTATCAGAAAGAGAAGGGGATACTTCCAAGAAACAGCACCGCTTGGAGCCTGGGGCCAGACCCTGGGCTCCACGCAGCACTGCCACTTTGAAATGCCACATGCAGCCCAGGGCCAGCTGGGCTGTCCCCAAGGCTGCACACGGCGTTTCAAACCAACAGGACTGCATGAAGCCCCGAGTCAGCTGGGGACTGCCCTGCTGACGCCAGGCGGCGCTGCTGCTTTGAAATGCCACGGGGAGTCCGGAGTCAGGCTGCACGCGGCATTTCAAACTGGCAGTGCCACATGGAGCCCAGGGTCAGAGGGTAGTCCCCAGCTGACCTTGGAGCTTTCACCTTTGAAGTGTAGCAACAGCCCTAGGGGGAGGTGGTGCCCTATCAACTAATGAAATAATCGATTAAAAATGCATCAACTATTCAATTAGTCAATTAGTCGATATTTAACTTCCATACTTGAAGCCAGGGAGCATAGGTATGCCCCGGCCACAAGCAAGGAAAAACCACACAAGTCCCTGAGACCAACTTAACTAACAGCTACATAACACTTGAAAGAATTATCTACAAAGACCACTAGGGAAAGCATGCTTTCCCGGGGCAAGACACACTAGCTAGAACCACCAGATAACCATCAGTGGTGTTAAGAAGGAATTGAGGGAGAAGGAGGTCAGCAGGGTGTTATATACCTAGCCATAATGGCACCACTCTAGCGGTCTCCCCTGCCGACTTAGGAGATCCTACTGAGAAAAAAAATCTTCCCTGCAACTGTGCACACACCTAACCTGGAATACACATAAGCACTCAATCAAAGAAGAAAAGTTACATACCGAAGTTAACCATATAAAACAAAATCAGTGTCCATATTTCTACTACAAGCAACTCAAATCACTCACATAGTTAATCAAGAAACAATTTCCTCCTATGCTGTAGTGAAGCTAAACACATTTAAAAAACCCTGAAGAGCAGCAAGGAAAATACAAATTTAAGCTGACATCTTCATTTACCCAAAAGCTCATTAAGTTCTTAAATACAATAGGATCAATTACATACCAGCACATTTTGCACTCACATTCGGACATGTCAAAGATATGACATCACGAGTAACAATTTTTACTTTTCCCCTCTTAAAACAGTCCATTCATTCCAAGGAGTCTGGTGGAGGGAGTTATGACCTAGAACAGAGGACTGAGGTGGAAGAGGGGGGCAGGATTTGGGGAGGGGCTGTGACCAAGGTCAGGGGTGCAGGAGCAGGTGCAGAGGGTTTGGGTTGTGACCTACGGCAGGAGGAAGTATGGCTGCAGGGGAGGATTGTGACAGAAGAGGGGGAGGAGTGTAAAAGGACACACAGAGTTAGGGAGGGAGCTGTGACCTGGGGCAGGGGTGCAGGATTTTGGGTTGTGGCCTGGAGCCACGAAAGTTATAAGGCTGGTCATAAAGGTTGTGTTGAAATAATGCAACCACTCAATTCTTACATAGTACTTTACAGTATAAAGTCATTTATTTTACATAAGCCCAGAATGGAAGTAGGCTGGAAATGTGAAAAGTCAGCTAGCAGAAGCACAGCTGTAATAAACCTATCTTATGTTACGTATTCCTCCGTACACTACTTTTCCACTGAATATGCAATCAATTAAACTACATTGACTTTGGCATCCTATTTCTGAAAGAGTAAGTTTGTCAAGCTAATTTACAATTTGTCTATAGTATGTAGTTTTTTCAGCAAGAGGGAAAAAAAAAAAGCATCTACCATACAAGAAGATGCATGTCTTTCTGACTAGGGATGTCAACATGTAGACTACATGATTAACTGATGACAGGATTAACAAATAAGCCTATGGTTAACTATACCCATTCCTCCCCCTCCCCCAGGCAGCAAGACAGATAGAGGCAGTGGAGGAGAGGGGAGGGGTGGGGAGAGAGATGGGACAATTTGCCCGATA